CATATGCCAGTGAAGACTGATAGCTCTCCTGGACAGAGGAATCAGTTAATCTGTTTACATCAATCTTGCGGTGCTTCGTGTTTCGGGATCCTCCAAAACACATACAGATGTTCGCGCAGACCAGAGCATGATCTGAATCAACGAAAGTGGACCAAAAGCACCTGCAGTCCAGTACGCTGCCGCGCCATCTGAAGCTAATCGCAATGTGATCAATTTGAGACCAAGGTTGTGTTGGCGAAGGGGGACGCCAAGTTGCGGAACGTTTCTTCGTACGCCTGAAGCTAGTGCTCGAGAGAAACAGACGGTTGTCCTCGCACAATGTGAGAAGTCTCTCTCCGTTATCAGAGCGGTTCTCATCGAGCGCGTGATGACCACCAAGTTGGCGTTCGTATGGTAACAGGCGGCCAACCCGTGCATTAAAATCCCCAGCAAGGATAACGACATCCGACTTTTTAGCATTAGTCAAGAGCTGTTGTAGATCTCGGTAGAAATCGTCCTTGACCGAGTCGCTACTGCAGTCAGTTGGAGCGTATACAGAGATCACAAACAAGTTGCGTCTCTCTTCGCGTTGCCTGTTGATTCTACATGAACCCCGAAGCCGAACTGCACATAGTCGGCTGTTAATCGGGAACCAGTCCAGTAGTGCCGCCTCGGCCTTGCCACTCAGTGCTATACCTACACCAGCCAAACCCGCTGAGCTTGCTTCTGGATCTCCAGAAAGACGCAGGTGATATCTGGCTTCGTGGTCAGTGGGGGATGTCAATGTAAGCACAGTGCTGGGATCTTGCAATCGGGTTTCTGAAAGACAGCAGACATCAATGTCTAGGGAATCTAGGGTGCGCGCTAGACCGGCTTGCTGTCCAATCTGCATGAGTGTCCGGACGTTGAAGCACGCTAGACGGAACGAGGATTGGGGACGAAGGAGAGCCATAGGTTGAATTCCTTGATCTGCGGAGCAACCGGAATCGCAGCCAGATTGTTGAACAGATGAATCGGGTAACCGAAAGTGAGGATTGTTAGCAAACAAACAATTGGCGTGTGATGGAGTAGCGTGAAAGTGAGTAGCAGGAATAGTAGCTGATGAGCGCGTTGTGGTACAGTCCATGGTTTTGTGAGAGGGCGTGATACTACCCGGTTGCCCAAGCCGAAGTAGGGAGTTGACTTAAGGGACTCCACCCCGAGCCTTTGGCTAAATAACCTACCCGCAAGGCAGCGGGGCGAATTTAGGGAATCGCGCCCATTGGGAGGCGTTGACTGAATGATCAGCTCATGCGCCTTTGTTTGGTAGATTACCAAACAGGGGCCCAATACTCCCCATGAAGTCAGCACAATTGCTGGAATACAATGCCCCACGGAGGTGGAACATTGTCGCCGAACACTTTGCTGGAACGGGGTACACCCGAACCACTCGCCGATGCCGCCTTATCTTTGCACGATAGCCAGCTGTTTGTGACGGTATGTTGTCTACACAAGGTGTAGGCGCCTTGACCCTGAATGTTTGCTTAGGGCATTAAGGTTTTCAGGTAAGTCCCCCTTCTCTCCCTCTTCTTATTCTTTATTTCATAGGTCCTCGTGGTTGTATGGCAGCGAAGCATCAGTTCAAATGGCTGATGTACTGCTGTTGATGATGATGATGTATCTTGAGTACTTTATTGCGAAGTTTCTTGTACTGCAACCAACGTGTAAGTCCTCCTGATTCTTGCAACCCACACCAAGAAACATTGCGCTTCTTTGTCACACGAGCAATTTTGCGGCGCCCTCATCTAGGTTCATTGGAGTGTCTTCTGAGGCGTAGCGAAGCAAATCCATCTACCAAGTGAACAATCCTGCTATTGGCTAACCTCCATCTTTGTTCTAATGTAGCCTGCTCCAATTCAGGAACCCAACTGAGCGGCAGTGCTTTGGCTCGTAACCGATTTAGACCGATGAACTAAGGTTCCTTACAAGTCGGTGCTTTTCCGGGAGCCTTTTAGAGTTGAAAGAGAAGGTAATAACAGAGTAGTCACTCTTACCTGTGGGAGCCTTAGCTTGCACATTTGACATGTGGCCATATTTGGACAGCACAACAGCTAGTGTTGAAGGAGTGCAGCTGAGACGCTTTCTTGTCGGAGAGCGAACTTACTGGAAGAAGGCATTTCCTTGCACTCATTTTACAATGTCTTTCTAAGGCGTTTCCAGTGCTAGAAGCATGTTCCGAATTTGTGCGTGGGAGGTTTAATGCTCTAATGATTACAAAGTTCGGTGCAGGAACTGCTGTCCCTTGAGCAAATTAAGAAGCTCCACATCCTCCACTCGCGTAGGGAAAGGGATACGGTACACAGATAATTATCTCTAACCTGACTCCCACCCTCTGAAAGCAAGAGATAACTTGGATAGCTATGGTTTTCATAGAGAACGGAGCTACCATTTTCCACATTAGCCGTTAATAAAGAGAAGCACACCACCATCTGCCTGATGTCTAGGTCTATCTAATCTGTACTCTGAACAGCCAGACAGTAAGACACCCACTGTATCACACTGAGACAACCAGGTTTTAGTAATCGCAATCATATCAGAAAACTCACAGCTTACCGACAGTTCCTACCATTTATTTCTTATGCTACGACTGTTGACATACCACAGTCAATCCACATTTCCTCTTGCTACCGCATTTATTTATTTACCCTAGGGTGAAGGACTCCGAGAGGTAAACCGTTATTTGAAGCATTTTTAAGTGGTTCATTACTTCAATAACCGGTTTCTCAGGAGTACTAACTAGTTTCTGTAGACGCCCACTGGATAAGTTCGGTTTTTTGATCCTGATCTACGTGCATTTACAGTATGATCCACAACCGGCTTTCAATTGGTGTTTGAGTAGACGCAATTACCTCGCACTTTTTCCGCCAGTTTGTTTACCCTTACCTTTGTAGGACCGTTCTTTGTACCGCCCAACATACTGTTACTCTGGGCCGCAGAAGTGTAGTCCACCCCCGCAGATATCGATGCCACCTCTGTCAAATTGCAATTTTAGATGGTCTGAGCTGCCTGCATTCCGCTAAAAAGGAGAGTGAGACTATTTTACTTTTTTTCTACCGTCAACAGCGGAATTAAATCACGTGATAGAACCACACGTTTAATAGTCACATGCCGGCCATGATCTTACGTCGCAGTCATAGTAACCAAATTAGAATTAGTACCTCCAGTTAGGCTTATTTGTAGACGTTTAAGCTTCAAATTACGCGCCTCTGGTGCTACTTCATACCTGCCGTCTGTATAACCCATCATGAATCCAGCCCTGTTTAGTAGTATGACACAGTGTACTGGGCTTTTGAACTTCAGAATAGGCCTCTGCTGCCGCAATACTCGTTTCCTTCCAACTGCCAACACCATATATCCTTTTGAGGCCGACATGTAACGGAAGACAAGCTATTCGAAAGATATCATATACCCGTCTTTTGTCTAAAGCACGTCGTCCTAGCTTCCCGTATCAACGGCTTCATTCTGTTGTGGATAAGGTTTTTTGTCTGTCCATAGCGGGTTCGGTGCTACCTACGCAACACTCCAAATACGACTTCAGTTCGTTAACTTCCGCACGTAAAGAAGCATTGAGTAAACTCCGATCACGAATCATATTTCCAGTAATGGTGTCTACGCAAATACTTTGTCACTATTGTTCTTTTGAAGCGGGATCGAAAAACTCAACGTTCCTACAGGATCGTAAGCTGAAACAACGGAAGGCAATGAAACTCGCATTCAGACCAGTGCACCTGTTTCGGTCAGTCTTTCAACTCGTGAGACTTTCACTTTGTTATCACCCATTGTAAGTGAGAAACATTCTTGTTTCCGACCAATCTCCCCAATCATGAAACATTCAGCTATTTTTACTTAACTCGTATTTCCGCATCCACCAACGTTCTCTTTTGGACATGTTTCGTTGGCAGATTCACATAGTGCCAATCCACTTGCATATGCCTCGCTTCCAGGGTTTGCTTACGTAAACCATTCTACGTGAAAACTAACATATTTCACAATCACGGTGTATAAGCAATGCTGGACTGCGCTGTAATCGCCTTCAGCCTGACTGGTAAAATTGCCTGTGGCGAAAGGCCTGACTTTTGTCTTACTCTCGAGTTCGGGTAGTTGCGTGTGAAATTGCGTTCGGTCGAAGAACGCGTTCAACTTGTGCGTAGTCAGAGTGTTGCGCCGAAGTCTCATGGGTCCTACAAACATCGAATTTCGTCGGTTACCTTGCCGTGCGTGGATACAGTTCCCAGCAACTTTTGTTCGGCCGACTAGTTGTTGATACCAGACCGTCAGATTTTTAGCGTAAGTGGGAGACATAACAGGTGGGTCTATGCAAATACTTGTCATCATCGTCCTGCCCCTTATAGACCTCTTGACTGGGATCGATTAACCCACCACGTACAAGGTGAGCGCAAGTGCCTGCTAAAGATACACAGCGGAGGCAAAACCACTTCAATTGGCGTACAAACCAATGGGCTCCTGGTCTAGCCTAGACGAGCTGTGTTACCACAACGTATCTGTCGCACTAAAGTCCGTCTTTGCAATGCCGCATCTGATCTCGTCATATTTATGGATGAGCTTCACGGACATGGTTTATGGTAATGAAAATGACCACTAGAAAAAGAGTTTAGAATAGACAAATTGATGTGAATCAAACCACAAGAGTGACAAAATAGAGAGATTACGATGCGTCACCATCATACGACGGCGGAATATGAACAATCACAGCGAATTAATCCAATGTACTACAACAGGGGTGAAAAATTTAGTAAATAAACAGCAAATATAGCGAATTATCAACACAAAAGGAAAACAAAGGGATGAAATACTGGAACGAACTCATGCGATGTTAAGTAGAAAGCGGTGGCTAGATGCTCCTGTCATAACAATGGTTATTACTGGGTGAACCTAATAAGAGACTACACTAAACGAAACGTGAAAGTAAAGAAAACATCGATGGCTGTCTAATCGAGGTACAACAATCTTCATTAAGATACCTTAAGGATGAGGAACCCACGGAGCTGACAAGGGAACTCTCTTCAGTTCTCTATCATCCGATGGTCCAATGACCACCACAAGGTCACACTCGGATCAGTTACACAAATACACGTAGGATATCGGGCCGTTGAATTCGCGGGAGTAAAAAGGCAGGGAATGGGGCGAGGTTGGAAGATGGGTCGGATCTGCGTAATGGAATAGGGTTAGATTCGAACACAGTATTTATGCTGATAGTGTAGCTTATGGATAAGTAAAGGTTAATTTTGTACGTAGGCTATCAATATTGGTTCATTATTAGTGTGTCATTAAATCCAACGTTGGAACAACTTTAAACGCATATTAAGTTAATTGTAAAACTAATAAGCGCAACTTTTTAAGCAACTACATATCAAGCAGATAAAGGAGGTAAAGTATCTGTGTGAGATTTACTAATCAACCTGCGACTGCAATGGCTTTCGATTTACCGCCACGCGCGATTCCCCGGCTCCCGTAGTTATATGGTCAAGGTCAAGTTCAAGTGCGGATGGGATTGGAACAATAGGAGAATCACGTGAGTGTTTCATCTTGAGTGGATTGTTGATCCAGGAATTGCTGAAGTGCACATTTCTTTAAGGATCATAAACAGAACACCCGTGTCGCACCCTGGCCAACCAGTTAATGCCCACTTTTCCTGCCCTATCAGTCCCTACTGTGACAGGCACGTGAATTAAGCAAAGGATAAGAAGAGAAATCGAACAGAATAACGAACTGCACTGGAAATAAGAACATACTACCAGTGCGTGAAGAAAAGTAGAGAAAAGAAAATCGAACCACGGAGAGGAGTTGTCTGCATTTGATGTGGCCTTCTCTGGCGTATAAAAATGAGCTAAGAAGGTACATGAACGCAGGTAAGCTGCTTTTGATTATTCGTCCGCACTATAGGCCTTTGGAATCTCCGTACGCCATATGCACCCTAACTTTTCAGGTCATTTCATTGGTCCATTGGTTGATAGAGAGCAGAAGTAAGTTCCTTTGTCAGCTCCGTCGCTTCCCGAATGTTGCGGATTGCGGGAAACATTGCGGGACCGTTGTATTGTGGGTAGCAGAAGCCATGCGCACTCAGGTAGTGGGAATCCAACAGTCGTTTGAAACTTTTCTTTGTCTCCGCATCGACGACAGCCTCCGGCAAGCTGTTCCAGTCGTTCACTACCTGGGTGGATAGGGCCAGATCGGACGGCACACGGAGTCGCCGCTGTTTGAAAAGTTTCCACCGGTGGCCTCGAGCTGCATACTTGGTGTTGAGACGAAAGAATGATTGCAGCTCACACCCCAGCTCACCTAGTAGAATACGCCAAGTGAATATCATCTACGTGGCGAAGACGATAACCCAAACGGAACAGGTTCAACCTTTGAAACCGTAGGGAGTAAGCTAAGTCCCTCAGTCGCGAACAGATGTTTATCCACGTCGTTATACCCCCTCGATCATGTCACGTTCGGACTTTATGAGAGGATATGCAGCAGGCAATCCGCACCCGAGAACTGGGCGCACATTCGAAGCAAGCAGTAGTCTGAAGAGTGCTGGGGTCAGGTGTGAGAAGGCTCTCCGTATAACGTGAAGTATTCTGTAGGCGGATGCGACCATCTTCCGGATGTCCACGCTTCATGTGAGATCAGGAGGCACAGTCACCCCAAGAGCCCTCAGTTAGTTGGCATTTCCGAGCAAGCAACACTCTGTGTGGTGAGTCCCAAAAGGCTCAGGAGCACCGATTGGAAGCACAGCGCATTTGTCCCGGTTACTGGGCGACTGCCATTTTAGTGACAAATTGTGAAGCAGATGGAGTGTAGCTTGAAGTCTGTCAACATCTTCCAGGCTGGATACCACAAGCCACAGCTTCAGATCGCTCGCGTAGATTAAGCAGCCCGTCTGCAGTTCGGCTGGCAGGTCGTTGCTAAAGATAATGAAGAGTTCGGGGCTGAGTACAGAACCAAGGGGACCCACCTGTTATGAGAACGTGATCAGAAAACGGTACGTTCACTTTAACCTGCATGAAGCGACCGTCCAGGAAATCGGAGACCAGAGGAAGAAAATTGTCAGTGACGCCGATTCCCCGGAGTTTGAAGAGTAGCCGCTCACGTGGGAGCTTATCAAAAGCCTTACTAAGATCAACCAACACAGCATCTAGACGCTAACCGGCACCTAAGGGTCTTACCCAATTTTCCCCAGCCACCAGCAAAGTAGTGGCGTATGGACATGCCCTTCGGAAACCCTGTTGGGCATGAGCGAGGAACTCCAACTCTTCGAGATGAAGGCGTGGCACCCGTTTCAGAATCCGTTCTATGACTGCATAAAATCGAAGTCAGACAGTGAGACGAAAGCTGCCTGGATTCGGTCGGCTCCCTTCTTTTAACTTGGTACACCATTTCCCAACTTCCAAGCAGTCAGAAGCCGGCGAACCTCAAAGGAACGGCGGAAGATTTGACAGACAGGAGCGGCAATGTGCCCAGCCACGGTCTTTAGGAACGATGGGTGCAAACCATCAGGACCAGGCAACGAACACGGGTCTAGGTCAGAAAGAAGTTTCCTTACAACGTCAGTGCTAACACTCACGTGCTCCAACAGGGAAGGAGGAGTGGGTGCAACGCTACTTGGGAGTGGCGTCTCCGTCTAGTAAACAGCGGAATATTGCTGGGCCAAAAGGCTAGCTTTCTCAGGGCCGTCTCAAACTAGGTTCAAATGCTCCCATCAAGACAAGGCAGGGACACCAGTGCCAGCTTTGGTGCCTTGTTTGATGTATGAGAAGAGTGCCTTGGCGTTTGTACTAGAAAGTGCAGCGAATGACAGCTCGTATTTTTGGCGTTTCTCGCGCTTTTTAGGTTGCAAGCGTTTCTGACCGTTTTGTGGCAGCAGTAGTCAAGCTCAAATCGCGTAATTCGGAAACGCTTCCATATTGTACGCCTGCTTTTCATCATTGCTCTTAATTCGTGATCGTTTCATTGAGTGTCACTGGTGAAGGGTCTTCTTTTGGAGAAGGGGATGACCTGTTCAATGAGTAACAACAGCTTGGAGTAAAAGTGATTAAACGCTTCGTCAACCTTGAAGTGTTCAGGGATGCTCCAATCGACAATGCTTGCGGACGTTTTCAGACGAAGTGTTTCGGCACGCCAGAAATTCCGACGGTCGGCACTTTGGCTGTGCACAGTGAAGCGACGTGTCCACTGGAATAAGACAGTACACTGGTCACTGCTGCCAACGGCTGTAGAACTGAAAGGTTCCTGAGGTCTGATTGTGCCGTGGAGAGCACGCGATCTAGGATATGCGGCGACTGGTCTGGCGGAATACAAGTTGGTGTAGTGACATGTTGGAGCAAATTACAATCAAGAATGGTCCCAAGTAAGTTAACCTCGAAGGACTCTGTGGTTCGGTCACAAAGAAGCTGGTTCCAGTCAACAGAAGAAGCACTGAAACCCCCAGCCATAAGACAATTCTTTGGTGTACCGTGCCTCCTGATCGTGTCCATCTGGAGGGATCCGGATCCCAAAAGCGCTCTGTGGACGACACCAAATGTGAGAGAACTTCGTCCATCATGAACACGACACCAGTGGGCATCAGACTTATCGTCGTTGTCACTGGTTGCTTCAACTACGGGCACTTTGATAGCAGTCTTCCAATAGACCATTATGTTACGGCCGGACCTCCCTCCTTATCGCTCGGCTCTGGAGAGGTGGTAACCGGGGATAGACACCTCTGAAGCCGTGATGTCGGTGAGTAGCCAGATTTCAGTGCAGACCATCAGAGCTGGACGGGTCATTAAGGCAATCAACCGAATCTCCTCCAATTTATTCCTTAGACAGTGCAAGTTGGCGTTTAACAGACGTAGTACATTTGTGCGCTTTTTTGTTCCGATAATCAGGAGTATAGTTATCCAACGTGATCTCAGGGTCTTCCGAACCACGCAAAAATCCACGATATGGAGGTCAGTTTCACCATTTCCTTGGCGTGTTCGTAGTTCCTCAACAGCCTCCTTCCTTTTTATCCGATCCTCTGGAGGAAGGTCAGACAGTAGGTAGTACGGCTCACCTTTGAGACGCGAAGCCCGTCACAGAATACGTCGGCATTCCTCTTCTGTTCGGCACACGACTTTGAGGGGGAGACGTTTTGGTGGATCCCCTAGTGTTCTGCCGAGCCAGAATGCAGAGGCAACATTAATTCCGTGTCCACCATCATCAAGTAATAAAGACAAACAGTTATTCTTTTCTCCCTTGTTCTGAAGGATAACATTACCTGCACGGAACACCTCCGAGGACAGACCTGCGACGCTCACCTGGACACGGAATCAACGCAGAACCAAGAAATCACCCGCACTTCGCAATCCTGACACACTAAAGGAACCAAGAAAAGTAACCAAATCAATGCAAGTCAACTGAGTAGGCCGACTGCAACAGCTCCAAACACTTGCGGGCGACTCCGAAGGAGACTACACAACCACGGGAAACAATTTGGCGTAACGTGGCTGCGAATACCCCCCAGGGTACTCGGTCAGATGCAACCTCGTCAGTCATATCAACCGTCGGCAGTGTTCCAGGACGTGGTGGGTTTTCGTCTGGCAAGCGCTTTTCCTACAAAAAGCCACAAACGTCTGTTTAACAACACTGCGAAGCGGCGGATATGACTCGCCACTCAATAAAGTCACCGCCCCAATCACACATTGGCTAGTTGACCGATACCACCTTTACAAATTCTGTGAAGGTATTTGCTCTCGTACAAACACGCCTACATAATTGATCTGTTACCTAGCGCTATTCTTCAATATTTTTGCATCTTTTTCCTCGTGCTTCACTCATCTGACCCACACTGCGTACGGACCTCATCGGACTAGTTCCTCATCAACATACGCCACATCAGTGACGTGATTCTTATCTCTACATCTCACATTCTGTGGGCATAGACTTCATACAACCGTCAGGCCATATGGGCCCACACTACTGACTCCATCTTTACTATTCCCGCGCTTGGTGCTGCTAATCATGCTATCATGTACAATATTGCAATGTGCTGATCATGCCCAAAAGGCGTGCCTCGCTTTGTCGAGAATAAAATATTTATTTATTTGGTCATCCAAAATTCTTTCCGCTGTGGTGGCTTTGTTCGCTTCTACTGAGTTCCTAATGATGGGGCAAGGGTTTTTTGAAAGTGGTAGGTAACGCATAATTAATGGTTTGTGTTTACCGCAGACCCTCCTAGACACGAAGAGAGGGTAAAAAGTTTAGCGAGCTGGTAAAAGGAGCAGCACCTTCAGAGCCAAGCTTGTAATAGTTAGTGATCTTAACCTGCCACATGCCGACTGGGAGTATGCAATCAAGGGGGCGGATTCATGGGGAGGAGACAGTGCAGTGGGTGCAAGAACACGCCTTTGTGTAACATGTCAATTTTCCAACTAAGTTGTGGCGCAATCTTTACCCTTCGTTAAACGTTTAGTGTACCGGAACAGCGGCTCCATCAGCATTTTGCAACATTGGCTTTTATCGTTGCTTTTACCTTCAAAACGTCCACTTGTTTAACTGACGGCACATCTGTTGACACAAATTGCTTTGGTGAGTAACTTGCTGCACCGTTTCTCGCTCTGGTTGACTCGCTTCCTATTTGTGTAGCCAGCACAAGTTCAAGTGCGACGTGGTGGGTCTTCGTTTGGCAAGCGAATTCCTTATAAAACGGCACAAAATCCGTTTATCAACACTGTGACGTGGCGGGTGTGACTCGCCACTGCATAAAGTCACTGCCCACTGTTACACTGGAATATCGACTAGTCCTTTTTCAATCTCTGCTGACAAGTACGCAAAGTTACTCTGTCTTCCTCTACTGTCCCTACTCCACCTACTGTGCATTTTTATTTACCCTGCGCACCATTGCAACCAGTTTATTGGCACTCCACTGATGACTTAGCTCCACATGAGTGCTTCGACTGTCTGCCACAGCCAATCACGTGCGTTGTAACGCATCTCTTATGCTACATAGTTGTTTGTAAATTTTGATCCCACCTGAGTTGCTATGCCTCGATGAATGCAAGAATAAAATATTTATTTATTTATTTTCTCATAGGATTATCCCGTGGGTGTTCCTTCTGCGGTGGGGCGTTGAGCCAGGAGTTAGCAGACTTAGAACTACTGATGGACCTAAAACAAAACCGCATCACACCCTCTCCAACCAATTAATGCCTGTTTATCCTACACTTTCGGTTACGTTAGTTAAGCAAGAGAAAAAGGTAAACACAAAATTCAAAAAGGGAAAGTGCGGGGAGCTAAGCAAGTTGAATAGCATGATATTTAGTCATTAAAAACATAACTGAACAGTGAAGGTGAGTCAGTTAGAGTGCAGGAAAGGTTTGTTGCGGCCACCCAAAGCATTGAGCTGGCGCGCAAACCCTTTAAGCGTAGGTTTCCTAACCATGTGATCTGGAAGCGAATTCCAGCGATCTATAACTCGGCGCGACAGACGAGTTTTCGTCCTAATCCTAGTAGACCACCTTTATGCAGCTTCAGTGGGTGACCGCGGAGATTCGGCAACGTAAAGGGGCCAAAGAGCGCTGACAAGTCCGGGCCCATCTTACCCGTCAAAATACAATAAGTGCGAATCAGGTCACCTCTTATCCTTCTGTAGTGCCTTGAGTACATCCCCAAACTGAGCAAGTGTTCAGGAGGGGTCTGTCTCCGTAAACCCTGCACTAACCGGGTGCACACTCGTAACACCCTCTAAAAGATCATTTTGTCTCGGATAGGACATGTGGACAATCCTGGATTCCATATTCTAGGTAGGGTCAGGCGAATGCAGAGAATAGCTTCACAAACAAATTGGATTATGATTTCGAAAGAGCGGCGGGTAAACCACATCATACGAAACCCACGACAAGCAGCCTTGGTCCAACTGTCGCTAGCTTGAGGTGCTAATGCGTGTAAGGCCCTAGATCAACCTACTGAGTGCCAACAGGGAGTTCACCACCGCCGACAAGATACCGGGTGAGAGGTTAGCAGCTCCGATTTAGAGCACAGAGCACGGCCCTAGTTGTGGTTTCAGCCACCTCCACCTTCCATACCGTCCCATATTTGCCACGGCTGTTACGTGACATTGAGTACCGACTAGTATCCCAGGCGCCAGCCAACAATTGTTGACTTCCGTCTAGAATCCGCCGTCCGTCATTTTGAATTTCTATTCCAGTGGGCTCGTTCCAGTGGCTTTGTGATTTATTACACCAGTTTATTTTGCTCTCTCAACGACCATATTTTTATTTCCTTTTTGCAAGGAATTATTATGAGGATAACTCAGCTCCCTACGTGGTTAGCTCCCTAGGCAGTCAGCTCCCTAAGTAGCGTTAACTCCTCCACCATTTCGGCAGAATGATTCGCTCTTCTGGTTGCTGCATCTAGAATCCACTTTTGCCTTCGTTGGATTTCTCCTGCGTTCGCCATGTATAACCAGTTTATATCTCGCCTTCCTCAGAGTATATCCTTGCAGGTGAGCGACCTCATATTTTATCACCACTTACAATGAAACACGGGTCTCTTAAACAGGCTATTATTCAGCGAAGCACACCTTCTGACAAGGTCTATTTAGCAACTAGTTGGTGCTTTGCAACCAGAAGATAGGATTCCCTCAGGCGTCGCGTGAAATGCAACGGCTCATTGGCACGTTCAACATGGATATAGAGCTTATCCGCGGGCGGTGTGTGCGTCGTTTCCTGAAGGCACTTAGGCCATCTTAGTAGTAGCAAGTGACATGCCACGCACAGCGATTGCAGACATAACAGACCGCCTCATAGAAAGGCACCAGTCAGAGGCTGAAACCAGAACACATAAACAGCTTTGTGCTGGCGAAACCACCCCGCCACCGGCGACTAGCCAGCCGTCAGCAATAAACGCCTTACCATTGCAGATCGCTTCGCTTTATGGCCAGTTCGATAAGGTCACTTTAAACAGTAAGCACCGCATTCGCTATGGATCATCGCCACGTCGCACCAAACCTTACGCTTTTCCGTATTAAAGCCAGTATGTGCCTGTAGCTACGCCGCTACAGATGAACTGTCACGCCGACCTGTTATGGCCATGGGAAAGGTCGGTAAACTCAAAGCCGTCTCATCTATCTTAGGGACCCAGTTCTTAGTTGATACCGAAGCGGAAGTCAGCATCATTTCCCCTTATGCCAGGTTAGCCTATCGCTTACTTGTCGACAAACCTAAGTGCTGCCAATTTACCCTCAATAGCCACACAAGGTATTCCGTCTCTTACCATGGACCTAAATCTACGGTGCACGTTCCGCTGGGTATGTACTGCCGCTGCAGTCTTCGTTGCCATCATCGGCAGTGAAATTTTAGGCATTTCGTCCTCTTGGTCGGTGCTAATCGATACTGTAAGTACACTCAGTGTACGGGGCACCACAGCCGACATCGCATCTATAATACTGGTCTAAGCCCTTCCCCGTGTTACGGACATCTAAGGCCGACGCGTCATGCCACCCCACCAACTACACACTCCCTTGCACAAGACTATAGTTAGTTCGCTTCTTGGTCACTGTTTCTCATTGGTTGGCTTTTGTCACATTTGGTTCACTTGGCTTCGGTTTGGAGCAGAATACAGATTCGCATCTACTATTCGGCGTTGGTGCTTTTTCTACGTCTAAACGGTCCACGGATCCATAAACGGATTAGGAATACACGGTTGGTATGTAACAAAATGACGACAATCAATATGAACACGCTTCCGGGTCTATCATTTCTCTGGCCGGGGACGTCAGAAACCTTCCTTACAAACATGCATTCAACGGAAAAATTAGTTCCGACATCAGATGATTTCTTCCGCGTGTTTAATCCTTGCATGATACCGTCAGATACCCACCGGCTTACGTTTTTCCGCTAGACACTTGATTCTGAAGGACAAAGGCAGTTCGATGCAATGAACCTAATGATTAAATCTGGGTCCTCATAAGTGACTCAATCATTTGAGGAACTATGGGAAATTCAGAAGAGCGTGTTTTCTGCTTGCTATCAGCTTTTGAGGTTACTGCAGCAGCGAGATGAATGCTTTAACGATCTTATCGCAAGCGTGCACTAAGCTACCCAGAGTGTCATTACAACACAATCCCCTCGACGCGGTTTGAAGGAGTCATGAAATTCCAGTCCATGAAAGCTGGAATTATAGATAATGGAGCAGGAAAACTTTTAGCCGGGCAAGCAGAGCTTGGGAAACAGCTTTCAACATTATTAGGCAGAAAGAATACCCAAGCAATCAATTGCCCACTTTCGTCCCCACCCAGCCGGCAGAAACTGTGTACAAACTAACTCGACTCTTTTCCTCTGAGAATATTATGCGGATGATTAGTGCTACCGATGAGGCGATCACTCCACTTCCTCAAACCAGTGTCCTCACAAGCGTACGAGGTGCCGAAAGTGAGGTAAAGTTGGCCAGTTGGCTCGTGTTTGCTGTTACCAATCAGCACAAGTTTCCATTAAATCGCTGCAAACAACAGCAGGGTCTGCAACCTCAGCATATTCAGCGGTGGGGAAAGATTGCAGGGTCATGCTTAATATCCCACTTTGTGCAGCCCAAAGCAAACTTAACCAATTAGAAACTGAGCTTAGCATGCTTAAAAATGGGCTGCTTACGATGGATGCAACGTTGGAGACCTTAAAGCGCTGTCCATTCTGTCAAGAATAAGGAAACCTGCTACCCCGAATGTACTGAACGCGGCTGGCGAATTATTAGCAGCACTTAGCAACGAAATAACGGAGCGGGAACGTCGTTCCCAGAATGCCGTCGCATCCAAAGTATCTGATTGCTAGCCACTTAAAAAGGTGAAGCTACCTCTGCTGAATTCATGCAACACACCGCCGGATTGCTGTGCGTGCAAGGGGCTACGCAAGTCAGGTAAAACTCGCTCCTGCCCTATAGTTTTGGTTTTCCCTACTGCAAAACATGCCAAAGCATTTGCGGGCCGTAGACTGACTGTGTCCATAGGGCAAACCTTAGGCCGATCATCATTAAGCCTAACAAAACCCTTCTTCAATTATCATTAATGTCGTCAGGCAAGTCAAAGGACAAACGCAATGCTCTTATTGACTCATCTGTAACATCTCCGGTCCATCCGACCATCCTATCAGCGATAGACCATGACTTGTCTCCAAACCAAGATCACACCACGAATATGAAACCTGAAACAGCGCGAAGCTTGCTTTGGACGAACGCTAACGGCGGAACTTCCTCTGCACTGGCTGCTATAAGCATCGATCCTGCCAGCGTTGTGACCTACGGCTACTCCGACATGCATGGCGCTGACACGAACGACGTACCTTGTCAACCATCTAATCGATTCCTTAACTAAGTACCTAACTTGGCAACTGCACTGCCCGCTGTCACCGACCCTTAACAGAAGCACCCTCTCACAGCGAAACCCACACTAACAGGAAGCTCCTTTCAGATTGTATTGAACAGGTTTTTTCCCTGCCACTCTCCGCCACTACCATTGATACTGCGAGTGATATGTCACGTAGCAAGTCGGACACGTGTGTTAACTCTACTACTTGCCTTGTAGGCCAGACTTGTAGGCCTGATACTGTTGTCTACTTGCCTACTGACAACAACCGGCTCAATAGTCGAAATCGGCCTTAAACCCCAAGAACCTCGAACAACGCACACCAACCCAACAACAGGAAACGCCCTAAAGCATGGCTTTTAAAGCCAGCGTGGTACAAAAACAAGGCCGGTTCCGATATTCGCGACGCAGTTGCACTGAATCGCAGATCCCAGCAGACACCATATCCATTTACGAATGTAGTAACGCCCAAAAGCATCTTCTCACCCTGAAAACCTTATCTACTTGCAAAGCCCGATTACTCTGTTTAGTTGCTTAATTACAACAACGGACGCAAGAGTTGTATTTAGCTTCCAACTCCGAGAAGCTTGTAATTCTCGTGCCAACCTAACAACAGAGAAAATCACGAAGCACGCTTTCAAAGCTAGTGAGGTACCATAACACCGCCAAATCCAATACTCACAGTGCAGCTTAATAGGAGCGTAGCTGGCCGCAGAAATCACCTTCATTTATGCATGTGGTAATGTCTCAACGCATCTTCTCACCTCGCAAACCTTATCTACTTGTAAAACCACACATTACAGGGCTCACTGGCGGCGGCAACCGCACCTGTATAAACAGCGCATCTTCGCCACATTTTCAAACCGTTTTACCTACACCAAACTCACCGGCAAAAAACCGGTTAAACAAATTTTTCCAGTAGCAGCACCGCTTACTTGCCACCACAAGAACTTCATATACCTCGAACGAAGCGTAGTCGGACAAAGCTGAATGGTTTATTTAATAAGGCGGGTTACCTACCTACACCATTGTCGCCTACGCAAGATGACGGTTCAAACCAGACCAAATACGTACCTCAACCAAGACAGTTTACCTTGGCGCCCACGAATTATGCCTTTTTTATGGGGCAATGGAGGACACGGCCGCCTTATACATATCACTTCCATCTAGCATAACTTTTGCACCTTCTGCAAACCACAATATACAGACAGTCTCAAATTCATGGCTGCCTTCTCCCGACTCACAGTTGGTAACCTTCAACCATCCTGCCTACGAAAGTCCTCCCGAACAATCCAACGTCATGCCAATTCAGACAGAATGCATTGCCAGTTACCAACTCCCACACAACCCATTTCTTTAGCAGGTCGCTGGCGTAGTAACCCACACCTAGGTACCTTCTTCTCGCCCTGATGCTGTCTATTTACACGCAATTTTCAATCCTGCTTCCGCTTCCGCTTTGAAGACACTTAAAGGACAGCCCCCATATCCAAACCATTCCGCGCCTTTGTTACCCCACATCCTGGGCACCATGTCAGTGAGTGCCAAGTTAGATAGGGCTGCCCAAATCTCTCTAACTTGTTACAACCCCTTTCGTATGGGACTTGCGGGAACACGGCCCGCCACGTTACATTTGTCAAGCACACATCCTCCATCGCCAACACCAGCTGACTCCTACACCAGTTGGAGTTGTCCCCATAAAAGTAGCACGAGTACCTGCTGGTACTTCGCCTGATGAATGCAACCCGCCAACTGTAGATAATAGTGTGGTGGAAGCGACTCCACCACTGTCTTGTTACGGCACTACTACAGAATCTGCAGACCCGAGGACGGGACAATGTGAATAGGCCTCGTATACTCTCTTCCTGCTCAATGTACAATCACTTAACAATAAAACGCACCTCCTAGGCCTCATCTTTCTTTTGCCAACCCCTCATATGTTGCTGCTAACAGAACCATGACACTCGGCCGATGTTTCTGACGCACCACTCCACATTCCAGGGTACACCAGTTTCTGTAATGGACGTGCCGGTAAACATGGTGGGGAATGCCGCATATAGGCCAAGAACGCGTTTTACACATCATCTTTTCACACAATACCAATTGGCAATCCTGAAGACTCAATGTAGATTTACGCCGTTGGAGGTCAGCTTGACCTCCTGCTAGGCTGTTTATAAAACCCACCGCACTCCTCTTGTGCTGGCGTTGACAAAATGGTCAGGCTCTTTCAGGAAGTCCAATTCCTCCCTGCATGCTAAAAGTGCATTGCTGGAGACCTGAATATTCCTCCTGTTTCTTGGCACAGGCAGTCAGCCCCACCTAAGTCTGAGATCCTTGTCGACACTATTTTCAAGCATGAGTGGACAAAGCCTGTGCATGCACCTATTAGACAACCTAGCACACTGGACCTCATATTCACTAACGGTAGCTCGCACGCGTGCACCAGCTTGTTAGACAATAGACCGGGCCGCGACTACAAGGTGGTGAAGTTTTCTTTGGCGCGCCCCTAAATCCCCAACATGCAGTCACAAAATTTGAGTTATTTCGGCCCGTTTAGCGCATCAACTGGGAAATCCTTTCCTCCGTTCTTCGATCATCACCCTGGGAAGAATGCTTCCTATCCGACAATATAGATACAGTAATCAGCGTGATTTATAACAAGTTTACCAACTGCTTAGGTGTCCTTACTCCAAATCCGAGGAAGATCAGAAAGCGTCAAACCCTTGAGGATGCCTTTGCATGCAAATTGACGAACAGTCTTAAGGAAACGCGCTTCCGTTAAATCAAAGCCAAACCGTTTCACCCAATTATCCATATGAAAGATGTAATAACCGATTGGAAGCACACGACCGTCATACCAAGGCACAAACGCGGCTGTCGCCAAACCCTTGACAATTAGCGCCTTATAAGCCACACAACTATTGCG